CTTTGTCTCCGGGCGGGCCGCCTGCTGCTGGGAACCGCTCTCTACTTATTGGAAACTATTTAAAAAACACGCTGGCCGCTCTGAAACAAAATGCTAGGTGGACGCCGGCGCCTTAGAGAGACCTGAGGGCGAGACTTTAAATCTGAAGAACAGAAGTAGATCACTGCAGGGATCAATCCTGCAGGCGATGAAGCGCGTGAGTTTAGTGTCTCTGCTTTGGCTTGAGAGAGAAACGCTCGCACTCTGGCGAGGCGATTAAACCTCGCTGACATGTGATTGAAGGTGAGGTCTGTGTCCAGCATCACGCCGTGACCTTGACCTCCTGACGGTGATTTAAATGGGTCCATCAATGTGATGATGATGTTAGAACTAGAAACTGCAGACGGCCGTGTTGTATTCCACAAACAGTTTTGCACCAATGAATCTCCTCCTCCTCTTCCTCCTCCTCCTCCTCTCTTCCTCCTCTCCTCCTCCTCTTCTCTCCTCCTTTCCTCCTCCTCCTCTTCCTCCTCCTCCTCTTCTTCCCTCCTCTTCCTCCTCCTCCTCTTCCTCCTCTTCCTCCTCCTCCTCCTCTTCCTCTTCCTCCACCTCTTCCTCTTCCTCCTCCCCCTCCTCTTCCTCTTCCTCCTCCTCTTCTTCCTCCTCCTCCTCTTCCTCCTCCCCCTCCTCCTCCTCCTCTTCCTCCTCCCCCTCCTCTTCCTCTTCCTCCTCTTCTCCTCTCCTCCTCTCCTCCTTCCTCTCCTCCTCTCTCCTCTCCTCCTCCTCTTCCTCTTCCTCCTCTTCCTCCTCCTCACCTCCTGCTGCTGCTGTTCATCTGTGCTGCAGTGTGTTTGTTTGTGGCTAACCTTTGACCCCTCACCATGCTATTGTTCAGCAGGTCGAGGCCCCCCGCCCTCCTCTCCCATAATCCCTGTGATCCCAGTCTCGCCAATTGCAGCCGAGTCCACAACCAACATCCCACCGACGTCACAGGTTTTCTTTATTTTTTGTTGTTTTTATTTTACTCTACTTTTGTCTCTCTCTCTCTCTCTCTCTCTCTGTCTCTTCTCTCTCTGTCTCTCTTCCTCCTGTCTCTCTGTCTCTCTCTCCTCTCTCTCCTCTCTCTGTCTCTTTCTCTCTCTTCTCCCTTCTCTGTCTCTCTCTCTCTCTGTTCTCTCTCTTGTCTCTCTCTCTCGCTCTCTGTCTCTCTCTCTCTTGTCTCTCTCTCTCTCTGTGTCTTCTCTGTCTCTCTCTCTCTCTGTCTCTCTCTCTCTCTGTCGCTCTCTTCTGTCTCTCTCTCTCTCTCTGTCTCTCTCTCTCTCTCTCTCCTCTCTCTGTCTCTCTCTCTCTCTCTGTCTCTCTCTCTCTCTCTGTCTCTCTCTCTGTCTCTCTCTCTCTGTCTCTCTCCTCTCTCTGTCTCTCCTGTCTCTCTCTCTCTCTCTCTCTGTCTCTCTGTCTCTCTCTTCTCTCTCTCTCTCTCTCTGTCTCTCTCTCTCTCTCTGTCCTCTCTCTCTCTGTCTCTCTCTCTGTCTCTCTCTCTCTCGCTCTCTCTGTCTCTCTCTCTCTCTCTCTGTCTCTCTCTCTCTCTGTCTCTCTGTCTCTCTCTGTCTCTCTCTCTCTGTCTCTCTCTCTCTGTCTCTCTCTCTCTCTCTCTCTGTCTCTCTCTCTCTTCTCTGTCTCTCTCTCTCTCTGTCTCTCTCTCTCTCTCTCTGTCTCTCTCTCTCTCTTGTCTCTCTCTCTCTCTGTCTCTCTCTCTCTCTCTCTGTCTCTCTCTCTCTCTCTGTCTCTCTCTCTCTCTCTGTCTCTGTCTCTTCTCTCTTCTCTCTGTCTTCTGTCCTGTCTCTCTCTCTCTTCTCTCTCTGTCTCTCTCTCTCTCTCTGTCTCTCTCTCTCTGTCTCTCTCTCTCTGTCTCTCTCTTCTCTTCTCTGTCTCTCTCTTCTCTCTCTGTCTCTCTCTCTCTCTGTCTCTCTCTCTCTCTCTGTCTCTCTCTCTTCTCTGTCTCTCTTCTCTCTCTTTGTTCTCTCTCTTCTTGTCTCTCTCTCTCTCTGTCTCTCTCTCTCTCTCTCTGTCTCTCTCTCTCTCTCTGTCTCTCTCTCTCTCTGTCTCTCTCTCTCTCTGTCTCTCTCTCTCTGTCTTCTCTTCTCTCTCTCTCTGTCTCTCTCTCTCTCTCTCTCTCTGTCTCTCTCTCTCTCTCTGTTCCTCTTCTCTCTTTCTCCCTCTCTCTCCTCTCTGCTCTCTCTCTCTTTTCCCCCTCCCCCTCCCTTTCCTCTCTCTCTCCCTCTCTCTCTCTTCTCTCCCCCCCTCTCTCTCTGCATCCATCATCTATCCATAGATTTGTGTCTCTGTCTCTGCATGGCTCCATGTGTGCCGTCCAGCTGTGGCTCTGATGAAGTGAGCAGATTAGAGATAGAGACAGTGGAGAAATGCCACACTTCCCCCACATGACTTTAAAGAGCCCATCTGGCTCCTCCCGGGCAGAAACTGAGCGAGCGAGCGAGGCGACAGGAAGAGAATGAGTGAGCGAGCGAGTCAGGGATTTTGGATTTAAAGCTAGAAGAAGAAGAAGAAGAGGAGGAGGAGGTGAAGGAGCCCGCCGTTCCATCCTGCAGGACTTGATTTAATTGATTCGGGCTTCATGCTTCAGCATTGCATCTTCTGCAGCGTGAAATGCCACATGTACGTAGCTCTCTGTGCTCGCTAATCCCTCAAATCCACCGGCTTCCTGTGCTGTCCTCAGTTGGTCTGCGGTGGCATGAGACGCTCGTTTAATGTCAGCTGGCTTTTTGTTTTTTGTTTTTGTGTTCAGAGTGTGTTTGCAGGGGGTGGAGCTGTGTGGGAGGCTGGATGCTGAGGGGTATTTGTTGCAGATGTTTCTCTGACACCGTGTCTTCTCTCTCCTCAGGCCAACCCCCCCCCTGTGGTGGTCAACACAGACAGCCTGGACACGCCTCCTTATGTGAGTCTACACACACACATGCACGTCTTTGCATCACCTGTAAATGTAGGGTCCAAACTCCATGTGATCTGCATGAGTTTAAAGGCTTTATATGTGATTTTTTTTGATCCAGCAGATGTCGCCCCTTGAACACCAACTCGCGCTGTATTGTTGTGTTAGCATGCTTATAGGATATACTTGATTTCTATTACATTTCAGTGTGAAATCACATAGAAAGCCTTTAAAGAGTGTTTCTGTGTTTTATTTACTCCTGGAATCTCTTATTTGCATTAGAAATATCATCAAACGTGTAGCTGACCTGATTGACAGGTGGGCGCGGTGTAACGGTTTGTCAGGAGGTTTAAAACCCGCCTCAGCTCCAGCTCTCAGCCTGTCGTTAGGTTGACTGAAAGTTAGACTGAGACAGCATTTCCAGCATGGAGACCGCCATCGATGGGACTCCAGCGCCCCCTGCAGGAACAGACGGGTGATGACACTCAGGCTTCGTCCGTTAATATTCCAACTTTGTGTCCGGAAATGACCTGAAAGAGGAGCGTCGTTACTTTATTACGAGTCCCAACCTTTCTTTTTTTATATCACAAGATCTGAAATGAAAGTGAAAGAGTGCAAAGAAAGTAGAGAGGAAACACTTCATCCTTTAACTGATGACAGTTTAAAACATGACATCGTCCTCATTTTCCTGTTTTCTCAGTTTTGATGAATATCTTGCATCATAATTATCGTTGTAGGGATCCGTTCTGTTAAAGGTTAAGATGCTTTCATTGAACAGAAACACCCTCACTGCCAGCGCACTCCATTGACAAAAACACTTATTTCACCTCGCTGAATGAAATCCGAGACAGAGACTAAACATCTGGCCGGCTCTGATTGGCTCTGTGATACTCGAGATGTTGGCTGCTGTTAGTGAGGTCGGCTTTATCCTCTGCCAGCTTAATTTACTGAAGAGAATAAGAAAAGCGATGTGGGACAAAGCGGCTTACTCTCGCCGGCTCTGCTTTCACATCATTAAAGGTCCAATCAGTGAGATGTGTAGAGAGTGAGATGATAAAGTATCTACTATATGATCAGACATTAAGGAAACATGCTATGTTGAAGTGCTGGCTTCTCTGACAACAATGCAGCAGCCAGTATGTCCTCCTTCTAACTTTAGATTCTGCTCCTGAATGCTCTGGATTTGTTTGGACCAGAGAAGGTAGGCGCTTTTAAGACACGCCCCACATGGCTGTTTTGGACGCCCCTCGGTTTGTCAGATATGAGAGCAGTTATCAGGTCAACAGGTGTTGCAGTGATGGAAGCGGGCAAGAGAAGTGGTTCAGATAGAAGTGATTGTACCCGACCTAAAAAGCCTCTGCATGTTTCTAATAAGCTCCACGAGCAGAAACGTGCTCAAACTAGGATCAATATTGGAGATGCTTTTGAAAAATGGAGAGAGGTTAGAACACAGAAAGGTTTACAGACCCATGCAGAGCTGGATAAACACTGAAGCTTCAGATTCAACCACATGGTGACCTGAGTGAGCATCCACTCTAGAGAGGAGGGGGGGGGGGACAGCTCTCTATGATGTTTAGAATTTAGACTGCAGTACCCATTTTAAACAGTCGAGTTCTCCTGAGTATGTCCTGCTGCTTTCTCACATCAGTTCTCTCAGACTTTCAGCAGAACAAACTATAGGCTGCTGTCAGGAGAAATCGTTCCTCCTGAGGAGTTTTGTACACGTGTAAAAATCTCTAGCAGTGTGTACGGCGTCCATATCTCTTGGTTACAGGCGTTCTTCTTTGTTGTCTCTGTTGTTTTATGAAAGAGTCCTGACAGGTAATAAACTCCTAAATGTTGTGTCTTGTTTGTGCAGGTGAACGGGACGGAGGCTGACTATGAGTACGAGGAGATCACGTTGGAGAGGGTAAGAGGACAAGCAGCCGTCATGTTTTTATTTTTTTTATTTCACTTTGAATCACCGCCATGTCGTCAGCATAGCGCCCGATCATAACTCAGAGGGTCACTCTGCCCACACTGCTGGCAGCACGTCGTGTGTAGCTTTGACGCACTGCTTTTTTTTATGTGTGACTTTTAAACTTCAGAGGACACACTCATGTCTTCTTATTTTGAAAAATGTCCAAATGTGTGAGAAACCTGCAGAGACGAGGACAAAGTGGGCGTCGTCGCTCATGTGTTTGAGCTGTTTCAGAAAACTAAAAACATCTCCAGAAGTGTGACAATTAAAACCTCTGCTATTCCATTTCCTCTGAAGTACAGCTGTGTTCTAACCCCGGACTAGCTCTTCTTCTTCTTCATCATCTTCCTGTTGTTTTTCTTTTCTTGTCCTAATTCCGCCGTGCTTCTTCAAGTGAAAATAAAAGTCAGTGCAGCATGAATAAAAAGCGTCTCTGCAGCTGAGTCCTGCAGAAACGCAGCCTGTCTGTCTGAAGGCTTTCAGGCCTCAGGCTGCAGAGTTTGTTTCTTCTTTATATGTAAACTAATAAACTTTGAAAGGCTGTGTAGGTGTGAGATGATTCCTCCGTTGGCCCAATTATGGATGAATCCGCCGCTGCTGAAAATAGTACCACAGAATCAGAAAGGCACATTTCTCTCCTCAGGGTTTGATTTAAACGTCAGCGAGCGGGCTAACATGTCAGCATCTTTAGGAGGAACCAATGAGCTGAGAGCTAAAGACAAGAATTCAGACACTATTAATAGACAAACATTTTGTCGTTTAAGTCTGCACAGAAATGTGTTGACAATGAATGAAACATAAATAGGTCATGCTCAACAAGCCGAAAACGCTGAGATAAATGTGTCTCTAGTCCATTTGGGCAGAGGAATCTCAGAGAGTCTCCTGAAAAGTAGATGGTTAATGACTCACCTGTTTCCTTTTCTCTCTCCTGTTTCTTGTTTGTTTTCATTTCCTGGTTTCAGGGGAACTCAGGGCTGGGCTTCAGCATCGCCGGCGGGACGGACAACCCCCACATTGGTGAAGACCCCAGCATCTTCATCACCAAAGTCATACCTGGAGGAGCGGCTGCACAGGACGGGCGGCTCAGGTGAGACACATCTGCTGCAGACGTTACAGCCTGTTTACCTGCTGCAGACGTTACAGTCTGTTTACCTGCTGCAGACGTTACAGTCTGTTTACCTGCTGCAGACGTTACAGTCTGTTTACCTGCAGACGTTACAGCCTGTTTACCTGCTGCAGACGTTACAGTCTGTTTACCGCTGCAGACGTTACAGTCTGTTTACCTGCTGCAGACGTTACAGTCTGTTTACTTGCTGCAGACGTTACAGTCTGTTTACCTGCTGCAGACGTTACAGTCTGTTTACCTGCAGACGTTACAGTCTGTTTACCCGCTGCAGACGTTACAGTCTGTTTACCTGCAGACGTTACAGTCTGTTTACCCGCTGCAGACGTTACAGTCTGTTTACCTGCTGCAGACGTTACAGTCTGTTTACTTGCTGCAGACGTTACAGTCTGTTTACCTGCTGCAGACGTTACAGTCTGTTTACCTGCAGACGTTACAGTCTGTTTACCCGCTGCAGACGTTACAGTCTGTTTACCTGCAGACGTTACAGTCTGTTTACCGCTGCAGACGTTACAGTCTGTTTACCTGCTGCAGACGTTACAGTCTGTTTACTTGCTGCAGACGTTACACTCTGTTTACCTGCAGACGTTACAGTCTGTTTACCTGCAGACGTTACAGCCTGTTTACCTGCAGACGTTACAGTCTGTTTACCTGCTGCAGACGTTACAGTCTGTTTACCCGCTGCAGACGTTACAGCCTGTTTACCTGCAGACGTTACAGTCTGTTTACCCGCTGCAGACATTACAGCCTGTTTACCCGCTGCAGACGTTACAGTCTGTTTACCTGCTGCAGACGTTACACTCTGTTTACTTGCTGCAGACGTTACAGCCTGTTTACCTGCAGACGTTACAGTCTGTTTACCCGCTGCAGACGTTACAGTCTGTTTACCTGCTGCAGACGTTACACTCTGTTTACTTGCTGCAGACGTTACAGCCTGTTTACCTGCTGCAGACGTTACAGTCTGTTTACCGCTGCAGACGTTACAGTCTGTTTACCCGCTGCAGACGTTACAGTCTGTTTACCCGCTGCAGACGTTACAGTCTGTTTACATGCTGCAGACGTTACAGTCTGTTTACCTGCAGACGTTACAGTCTGTTTACCTGCTGCAGACGTTACAGTCTGTTTACCCGCTGCAGACGTTACAGTCTGTTTACCTGCTGCAGACGTTACAGTCTGTTTACTTGCTGCAGACGTTACAGTCTGTTTACCTGCTGCAGACGTTACAGTCTGTTTACCTGCAGACGTTACAGTCTGTTTACCCGCTGCAGACGTTACAGTCTGTTTACCTGCAGACGTTACAGTCTGTTTACCCGCTGCAGACGTTACAGTCTGTTTACCTGCTGCAGACGTTACAGTCTGTTTACTTGCTGCAGACGTTACACTCTGTTTACCTGCAGACGTTACAGTCTGTTTACCTGCAGACGTTACAGCCTGTTTACCTGCAGACGTTACAGTCTGTTTACCTGCTGCAGACGTTACAGTCTGTTTACCCGCTGCAGACGTTACAGCCTGTTTACCTGCAGACGTTACAGTCTGTTTACCCGCTGCAGACATTACAGCCTGTTTACCCGCTGCAGACGTTACAGTCTGTTTACCTGCTGCAGACGTTACACTCTGTTTACTTGCTGCAGACGTTACAGCCTGTTTACCTGCAGACGTTACAGTCTGTTTACCCGCTGCAGACGTTACAGTCTGTTTACCTGCTGCAGACGTTACACTCTGTTTACTTGCTGCAGACGTTACAGCCTGTTTACCTGCTGCAGACGTTACAGTCTGTTTACCCGCTGCAGACGTTACAGTCTGTTTACCCGCTGCAGACGTTACAGTCTGTTTACCCGCTGCAGACGTTACAGTCTGTTTACATGCTGCAGACGTTACAGTCTGTTTACCTGCAGACGTTACAGTCTGTTTACCTGCTGCAGACGTTACAGTCTGTTTACCCGCTGCAGACGTTACAGCCTGTTTACCTGCAGACGTTACAGTCTGTTTACCCGCTGCAGACATTACAGCCTGTTTACCCGCTGCAGACGTTACAGTCTGTTTACCTGCTGCAGACGTTACACTCTGTTTACTTGCTGCAGACGTTACAGCCTGTTTACCTGCAGACGTTACAGTCTGTTTACCTGCAGACCTTACAGCCTGTTTACCCGCTGCAGACGTTACAGCCTGTTTACCCGCTGCAGACGTTACAGTCTGTTTACCTGCAGACGTTACAGTCTGTTTACCTGCTGCAGACGTTACAGTCTGTTTACCTGCAGACCTTACAGCCTGTTTACCCGCTGCAGACGTTACAGCCTGTTTACCCGCTGCAGACGTTACACTCTGTTTACCTGCAGACGTTACAGTCTGTTTACCTGCTGCAGACGTTACAGTCTGTTTACCTGCTGCAGACGTTACAGTCTGAAAGTTTCAGAAAGTTTTGGTTTCCATTGGTCTTTTAGGGAGATTAAATGTCCGTTACCCAGAACCCCCGCCCCCCCGCAGCGTCCTGCAGCTTTCACCGCTTCATTCATATTTCAGCAGCCAGTAGAGTCTGACTCACCTGATCCAGGTGATGATGAGGTCTCAGGTTGAACCCTGTTTGTTGGCCTGTCAGTCATCAGTGAGACATCATGAGTCTGACTGAAAGCTCGACTCACACACTTCCATGAGTCACTTCTTTCTTCTTTCTCCTTTTACGCGGCCGCTTCTAAAACAATAAACTGCCATCTGTGGACACATGGCCCTTAAATAATAAAATAAACCTTCTGATAGATCATACAGTACCTAAAGATTACAGGAGGTTTGAGGTGATTTCCTCTCTATGTTTCAGGGTGAACGATGTGATCCTGAGAGTGAACGAGGCCGACGTCCGGGATGTGACCCACAGCCGAGCCGTGGAGGCTCTGAAGGAGGCGGGCTCTCTGGTCCGGCTCTACGTACGCAGGAGGAAACCGGTCTCGGAGAAAGTGATGGAGATCAAACTGGTGAAAGGACCCAAAGGTGACACTTCAAAGCGTTAAACTAGGAGGTTCCTTTCAGGTCCTGATGATGCTTTTGTTTTGGCGCCCTTGTTTTGACGTGGGTTCCTCCTGGTCTGGGTGTGTTGCAGGTCTTGGCTTCAGTATAGCAGGCGGAGTGGGGAACCAGCACATCCCGGGCGACAACAGCATCTACGTCACCAAGGTCATCGAAGGAGGAGCCGCACATAAAGACGGGAGGCTGCAGATCGGAGACAAACTGCTGGCTGTAAGCGCTCCTACCAATTTTTAACATACAGGGTGGATATATCTCAAATCCAAGAGGAAGATGATTTTATAACCAGCTGTTCCATCACTCGCTACAAAGACACCACACAAGTGTTCTTGTTCGATCTTTGATGTTTGTTACCAACACGTTATCTATTTTGACACACGAGAAAGAAAAAACAATCTGCCGCCTGGTTCAGACTTCAGATGATTTGAGGTCCGATTCCTCCTTCCCGACTCCCAAACTTCCAAACTCCATGTGATCTGCAGAGTCCCTCTGCACCTTTAAGAAAAAGCTAAAGACCCAGCTCTTTCATGAATACCTACTAACTTAATGATGATGGTCTCCATATTATTGATGATGATGATGGTAATGACGATGGTTTTTGTTTGATAACGACGACTTATAAGATGGTTTCTATTCTGATTAGAGCTCTCAAGAACTGCCCTCAATGTTGTGCTTTGCCTCTGGTCACTTCCTGTCAGCACCTGTGTGTCCAATCAGACTCAAAGCTGATCGTTTGCTCTTACTCACATTGTTCCCTTTTTTCTAGATCCTTGCTTGTGTTGTTCTTCCTCTCTGATGTACGTCACTTTGGATAAAAGAGTCTGCTAAGTGAATTGTAGAATTGTAATAGAATTGTAGACTCGAGGCTACTCAGAACTGAACATCTGCCCAGAACAGTTTGTAGTGCGAGTCGTCTAAAGTCTGAGTACAGTTCTCAGTCCTCCAGGTAAAGTCGAAACTTGATCAAAATACAACTGGACTCAGTTGAAGATCTTGAACCAGGTCCAGATGTATTTTGGATCAAGCTTTGAAATTTGAGTCGTTTAAAGATCCGATCTTAACGACCTCGTCCCGATTTATGTCAAACACGTTTGACGATTACGTCATGAAAAGGGTCTGGAGGAAGTCGTGCGTGACTACAATCACCACGAGTGATAAGGGAGGATGGTAGTCATGGCGACCAGCGGCAAGACGCAACCCTTACAGGTGTGAGCTGGACACCTGAGATTCAGTTAAAATCTGACCTGAGGAACAGACGTTTCTCCACCTAAACTAATTTTCAATGTTTTCCCTCTCCACTCAAAAGCATTCAAATCAGAAATTTAACCCCCAGCTCCGTTGTTTACATGAGGTCACATGAGGTGCTGCGTTCCTCCGCTGGGCACGATCATCTCAATAACCTCCTGTAGTCTGTGATGTGTCATGATTTTCACATCATGTAGTGTGAGAGATTTGAGATTATAGAGAAGAAGATCTGCTAAGATTCTCCGGATGTGCTCGATGGATTTTTTAAACACTTGGAGTCTGAGCAGCGACTCCTCTGTTCTGAGTTTTAAAGTGACTTTGAAGAGAGTGATGTAACAGCTGATCCTGCTTTTATCAAACAGTGTTTTACCTTTAAAAACAATGTGTGACTGTGTGTTGAACTTCTGAGGTTAAAGAGCACGTTGCCGTGTGTAGCAGCGTGTGTGTGTGTGACTCCTCCCCTCTCTGTTTCCAGGTGAACAGTGCTTGCCTGGAGGAGGTGAGCCACGAACACGCCGTCACTGCCTTGAAAAACACTCCTGACGTGGTCTACTTGAAAGTGGCTAAACCCAACAGTGTCTTCATGAACGACAGCTTCGCCCCGCCCGACCTCACCAACTGTGAGTCCAGATGTTTACCTTTCTGTTCAAACTAAAAAAAACTTTCTTCAGGGCTTTCTGCAGATCTTTTTTTTAAATTGTCCCGGGTCACGTTTACACGAGAACGCTCCACTGGAAACCAAATTATTTGTCAAAAAAAAAAAATCTAAGGTTTTAATACAACGCAAACAGATCCTCAAAACGACTGAAATAGATGTTGGACAGATGCCAGACCAGTGCTGGGACTTACAACATGTACACATACTCTCTGAACCTGACCACCTCCCCCCAAAAGTTGGATGTTATCTAATCGGGCCCAAAATCTTGCCTTAAGCTGTCTGGTGTGTAACCAGCCTTAGAAACAACTGAACTTGAGTTGTTGTCTTCCTGCTGTAAGCTGCACCTCGCTCTGGTGATGGCGTTAACAGACCTGGTTAAAGGTCAGTGACTGAATTAGCTGAGGTGACACCTGGCACCTAGCAGACAGCTAGCAGCTCCCACCTGTCACTCAAAGAGGCCACACCCCCTAATTATATATCCCTGTTAAGTCTTAATATAATGTAAACAGGTGAGTTGTTTTAACATTCAGTCCGTACAGTTGAAGAGAGAAATGAGCTCCAGAGACCCAAACTGTTTTTATACCAGGATGTAAACATGTTTATTTTAACATGGAGCTCTATGGAGACTGACTCACTGCAGGAGACAGACTCTAGTGGACACTGGAGGAACTGCAGTTTTTGACACATATACCTCAGCTTGTTTTGTTTTTTTATCTCTGGAGGTTAGAACACAGTTTACTGACCAGCCAATCAGAAACCATTGTCGTTTACGTTTGCAGAGTCAGACTGGGAGCTCTGGTGTCTGCAGGAATCGTGCGTGAAGATCGGTGGACAGCTGGTTTCAATGTTTATATAATTTTTGGTCTGCGGTCGGCTGTAAATTAATAATTTTTTTGCAGGTTATGATTAAAACATCACTCTTGTAGAAATAATTCAGCAGCTTTAATATTTGAGTGAGAACGAGAATGATGGAGTTTTTATGTATCATTATACTTCAAGTCCTAATAGCTCGTTAAAAGTTATTTTAGAGAGTTGAGAAGTGGGGCAGAAAGAGAACTCAATGTTCGGTGAGTGGTTGTCCTTGTTTTAATCACGTTTTTGAACGTCTGGAGTCACTGTGAGCAGTTTGAGTGTCTCTGTCAGCCGCTGTGAAGCTTCACTGGAGATTCTAAACACTCTGACCATAAAGTGTAAAACACACAGATACACACAGATTTAAAGAGAAGCAGCCTGATGTTTGTGTGAAGACGGCCGTCGGATATTTTCATCCAGAATGAAAAAATGAAAATGTTCCTTTCACCCTTTAACTACTATTAACCAAGCTGCAACCTCCAGTGTTGAACAATGAAGCCGATGCTGAAGTGTAAAATCCTGCAGTTCCTCGAGTGTCCACTAGAAGCTGGCTGCAGAAGCACAGGAAGTCACATACACACCCATTCTAAAACGCCTGTTTTTACAGCAGAGATGAACATGTTTACAGCCTGGTTCAAAAAACCAAATAGGTGTGATTAGCTCATGTCTCGATGGACACACACTGTACGGGGGGTGAATGTTTTGATGACTCATCAGTTTTGATTTGATGAAGGATAAGAGTTATTCACAATAAGGCGTGTAGCTGACCTGATTGACAGGTGGGCGCGGTGTAACGGTTTGTCAGGAGGTTTAAAACCCGCCTCAGCTCCAGCTCTCAGCCTGTCCTTAGGTTGACTGAAAGTTAGACTGAGACAGCATTTCCAGCATGGAGACCGCCATCGATGGGACTCCAGCGCCCCCTGCAGGGACAGACGGGGGACGCCGCTCAGGCTTTTGTCCTCTAATATCCACAAATACGTTCATTTCAATAAGTCAAAACGAGAAAGTTTCCAATATTTGGTGTCTTGGACTTCTATTTTTGTTGCCGTGGTGACAGGTGTCGATATCGTTTTAGTTTTTATTAGAATGGTTTCAGAGTGTTGACGACCACAGTCTGTACTTTGATGCGTTCATTATTAAGAACCTTCAACATCTGCAGGGTGTCATATATGCCCTTCATCCCCCTCTCTTCTTCTTCATTACTTATCGTCTTCGTCCTCCTGTCATTGCCCCCCACACCCTTCCACACACACACACGCACATGCACACACGCGCGCGCGTCGAGGTTGTGTCGCGTGAAGGACGAGCAGCAAATCCAATCAGCGAGTGGCAAGCTGCATCAGAAACTCCGGCTGCTGTCACTGCTGTTCAGGCTAATCCAGAAACAGAGAGGAGGGGGGGGCGAGGAGGGCGGGGCGGGGGGGGCAGTAATATGTATAATGACGTCCTGCCACAGTGCACAGAAAAAGATCTGAGCCGGGGGTAATGGATGAGAAGTAATTCAGTTAAGTGTGCTCCCAACAAACATGGAGGATTGTTGTGATGATGCAGCTGATATCCCATCATGCACTGCTTCAGTTATCATATGATCAGCACATTTACCTCCCACGGGGGAGGGGACAGGGGGTTCAATAGACATCAGGCCCAATGGTCACACTTTCATTTTCCTCTGCCTTTGTTAAAGTTAGCCAGGTTGCCATGGATACAACAGGTTTTCATTTTTTAATGCAAAATAAAAGACACTAAATAAAATTAGAAGTCCTAAAATTGAGTCCACGCTTCTGATGATGTATCATGTCAACAACGCCAAATGGCACGTTTTAAATTCCATTATTTCTCTTTTCAATGTAAAAATTGTTAGGCTCTTATTTTGAATTTTTGTTCTGTCTTAAGCTGAGAGTACTTTACTTGCTGTGTGCTTTTATTTTGAAATAAAGTCAGGCCCTTCCTGTATGTGCTCCTGTTGTCTGTTAGTGAAAATGTTTTTAAATCTATGAAGATGATCACTTTAAATGTCCACACATGTTCAGAGACAGTCCAGGTCGAGTTTCTCGCTCACTAGTTTAGTTTACGATCCCCCTCGACGTCTCCTCGTCCAATCAGAGCGTAACAGGAGGCCGACAGGTGAGTGTAGAGGAGGGTCTGAGCAGGTGTGTGTGTGTGTGTGTGTGTGATCAGACGGAGAGACACTGAAGGACCGGACGCTGAAACACTCTGAGAGGACGTGTGTGTGTTTATTTTCTGATTCTGGATTTTATTTTTCTAACTTTTAATATTTAACTTGTTTTTGTTTGTGTTTGTGTTTCAGCGTACTCTCAGCACATGGAGAACCATATCAGCCCCCCCAACTTCCTGGGTCAGCCCCTCCCCCCGCCGGCCTCCTCGGGACGCTACTCCCCGACCCCGAAGAGCATGCTGGGAGAAGATGATGTCACACGGTGAGGACTAACCTTTACTTTCTCTCCCTCTGACAGCAGACAGGGGGAGGGGGAAGGGGAGGGGGAGGGGGGGGGTTTGCATGGTTCCTTGAAAGGGCTTACATTTGATTTTTAATATTCAAGGTCATAAATTTGTCTTAAAGCAACATACGGTCATTTAGAAACTGGTGTGTGTGTGTGTGTGTGTGTGTGTGTGTGTGTGTGTGTGTGTGTGTGTGTGTGTGTGTGTGTGTGTGTGTGTGTGTGTGTGTGTGTGTGTGTGTGTGTGTGTGTGTGTGTGTGTGTGTGCTCGCCCTCTGCTGGTGTTAACCTGCAATAACACACTCTCTGCCTCCTGTACTGATGAACACACAACTTGTAGCTTCATCTTCACGCAGCAGCATGTTGACTGACAGCTGTGATGTCATAATGATTGACAGCTGTGATGTGGTGATGATTGACAGCTGTGATGTCATAATGATTGACAGTTGTGATGTGGTGATGATTGACAGCTGTGATGTCATAATGATTGACAGTTGTGATGTGGTGATGACTGACAGCTGTGATGTCGTAATGATTGACAGCTGTGATGTCATAATGATTGACAGTTGTGATGTGGTGATGATTGACAGCTGTGATGTCATAATGATTGACAGTTGTGATGTGGTGATGATTGACAGCTGTGATGTGGTGATGATTGACAGCTGTGATGTGGTGATGATTGACAGCTGTGACATCATGATTATTGACAGCTGTGATGTCATAATGATTGACAGCTGTGATGTGGTGATTATTGACAACTGTGATGTAATTATGATTGACAGCTGTGACATCATGATGATTGACAGCTGTGATGTGGTGATGATTGACAACTGTGATGTAATTATGATTGACAGCTGTGATGTGGTGATTATTGACAACTGTGATGTAATTATGATTGACAGCTGTGACATCATGATGATTGACAGCTGTGATGTCATAATGATTGACAGCTGTGATGTGATGATTGACAGCTGTGATGTGATGATTGACAGCTGTGATGTCATAATGATTGACAGTTGTGATGTGGTGATGATTGACAGCTGTGATGTCATAATGATTGACAGCTGTGATGTGGTGATGATTGACAGCTGTGATGTCATAATGATTAACAGCTGTGATGTGGTGATGATTGACAGCTGTGATGTCATAATGATTGACAGCTGTGATGTGGTGATTGACAGCTGTGTGGTCCAACAGGGAGCCCAGGAAGGTGGTGCTGCACAGAGGAGCGACGGGTCTGGGCTTCAACATCGTGGGCGGAGAGGACGGAGAGGGGATCTTCATCTCCTTCATCCTGGCAGGAGGACCAGCTGACCTCTGTGGAGAGCTGAGGAAAGGAGACAGACTGGTGTCTGTACGTACACACACACACACACACACACACACACACACACACACACACACACACACACACACACACACACACACACACACACACACACACACACACACACACACACACCGGGCTGTAGAGGGAAATCAGTGTTCAGATCATGCGTCAGGCGTGTAGCAGGAGAGAGCAGGAACATAAACACAACATAGCTTTTGTCTCATTTCTATATCAGTGTCAAAAACATCCGTAATAAATAAATGTGTGTCCTCAGGTGAACGGCGTTGACCTCCGTAACGCCACTCACGAACAGGCTGCAGCCGCCCTGAAGAACGCCGGGCAGACGGTGACCATCATCGCCCACTACAGACCAGAGGGTGAGACATCGGGACACCTGCAGTCTGATCACCTGGGGAAATGAAACATCCATTCAAATCTTTTTAAAAGAGTCTGACTAAAAGTCTGGACTTTTTATATTTTATATTTGTGTTTTTGGATTAACGCGTTTAGTCCATTAAAGATGTCCTCATGAAGCTCCGCTCTGTTCGACTCTTAATCTGACCTCCGTGTCCTCGTTGTTTTTCAGAGTACAGCAGGTTCGAGGCGAAGATCCACGACCTGCGGGAGCAGATGATGAACAGCAGCATCAGTTCAGGTTCTGGATCCTTACGGACGAGTCAGAAGAGGTCGCTTTACGTCAGGTGAGATCACGGCTCACGGATCAGAGCGCATAGAGGGTGTGATGTATGGAGGCCCAGAGGGGACAAAATGCAATTATTTATTATCATGTTTGTTTCTCTTGATTCTTTGCTTCAACTGCTGTGTGTGTGTGTGTGTCTGTCTGTCTGTCTGTCTGTCTGTCTGCCTGCCTGTCTGCCTGTCTGCCTGTCTGTCTGTCTGTGTCTGTCTGTGTCTGTCTGTCTGTCTGTGTCTGTCTGTGTGTGTCTGTGTCTGTGTCTGTGTCTGTCTCTCTGTCTCTCTGTCTGTCTGTCTGTCTGTCTGTCTGCCTGCCTGTCTGCCTGTCTGTCTGTCTGTGCAGAGCTCTGTTTGACTACGATAAGACTCGGGACTCGGGTCTGCCGAGTCAGGGACTCAACTTCAAGTTCGGGGACATCCTTCACGTGGTGAACGCCTCCGACGACGAGTGGTGGCAGGCCCGACAGCTGACGTCTCAGGGGGAGGTGGAGGAGGTGGGGGTGATCCCCAGCAAGAGACGGTGAGGGACACACACATTAAGTAAAGTAGGCAATGCAATGTTTTTACCCCGACACGTTGTTTCTATTCACCTCGACCCGGCCCTCTTATATCAGCTGGACATGTCGGGTCAAAATCAGTTATAATGAATGTTTTTGTTTTCCTGCCCATGAGTCCATCATCGAAATGACCTCTGACCTTCTGTCCTCTTTGACCTCAGGGTGGAGAAGAAGGAGAGAGCGAGATTAAAGACGGTGAAGTTCAACTCGAAGTCTCGAGACAGAGGGTGAGTGTTTCATTTCAGTTCTGCTCCTCTGCGTCAGCATCAGATACCTGAATCAGCTCAGCCAGGTGTGTAACACAAAGGTTCTCCTCCCATGATGCCTTGCATGAATTCATTGTGTTACTTGAAGATACTCCAGCTGCAGGATTTCTGCAGGTGTCTTCATCTGTCGCCTTCTGAAGTTCAGAGCGATGGAAGGACAAGCTGAAGCATCGGCCTATTAAAGGAGCAGTATGTAACTCTGACCCCTAGTGTTTAAAATGGGTACTGCAGTCTAAATTCTAAACATCATAGAGAGCTGTCTCCCCCCCCCCCTCCTCTCTAGAGTGGATGCTCACTCAGGTCACCATGTGGTGGACTCTGAAGCTTCAGTGTTTATCCAGCTCTGCATGGGTCTGTAAACCTTTCTGTGTTCTAACCTCTCTCCATTTTTCAAAAGCATCTCCAATATTGATCCTAGTTTGAGCACGTTTCTGCTCGTGGAGCTTATTAGAAACATGCAGAGGCTTTTTAGGTCGGGTACAATCACTTCTATCTGAACCACTTCTCTTGACCGCTTCCATCGCTGCAACACCTGTTGACCTGATAACTGCTCTCATATCTGACAAACCGAGGGGCGTCCAAAACGGCCGTGTGGGTGTCTTAAAAAGCGCCTACCTTCTCTGGTCCAAACAAATCCAGAGCATTCAGGAGCAGAATCTAAAGTTAGAAGGAGGACATACTGGCTGCTGCATTGTTGTCAGAGAAGCCAGCACTTCAACATAGCATGTTTCCTTAATGTCTGATCAGATAGTAAGATACCTTTATCATCTCACTCTCTACATATTGCTCCTTTAATTAAAAATGATCCCTCTTTGTTTTGTCTACATTTATTCTTATTGGTTAGCAGCTGCAAACACCAAAATCTTGTACCTAAACTCTGCAGCCTGTTGCGTTCTTAATGCTGACATGCCTGTAATTCATGCAAGGTATCACGGGACAAGGAATGTCTTAGATCATCGCAGCACTGTCTGCGAGCTGAGTGCACCAGCTGGCCGTTTAAAAAAGAGCCGCACCTGCAGGGCAGAGACAGCGCCGCGTTTCGTCTAAACGTCTTTTCATTGGTCATGCTTTAAAGAAGATGGCATGCCGTCACAGTTTCCTGACCGTTACTTTTTCTTTTGTGTTACCTCGGATATTAGTCCAATATTCTGACTCACGCCTGCTCCATCTTAGTCGAAAAGTTACAACAACAAACAGGTAAACGCTAAAGTCCAACTGGTGCAAGTTGGTCGTAGGTTTCAGCTCTAAGTTTGAGGTGCGCCCAGCTGGTGCACTCGGCTCCTGAAGTTTAGGCCTAGTCGCTGAGTCTGAATTGTTTCAGCTACATTTACATTGATGTGTTGTTGATGTATATCTGATGATATGAAGATATGAACCTTGTGTTTGAGCCGCAGCCACCTACTAATGAGTGTTTGACTAATGTTTGAAACCAGCCGGCTCGTTAACAGCATGTTTTATTTTTGAATCTTTGAGACGTTTTCTTCTTCACCACTCCAACGTCTCAGCAGCCGAGCCGCGGCAGCAGCGCCTCCCCCAGCACCTTTAAAACCGTGTGTCGCTTTAACATGCGTTGCCAAAAACTCTCCGCCCGCAAACCTGCCCTCTAACACACCGGAATGATGGAGGGAGGGGGAGAAGAAGAAAAAAAAAAAAACCATGCATGACCTCCCCTCCTCCAGAATCCTCCCCTCCCTCCTCTTACAGAGAGAAACGCTTGACATTGATGTCTGACTGTCTGCTCACAGAAACCTTCCTCCTCCTCCTCCTCCTCCTCCTCCTCCTCCTCACCACTCACCTCTCTCACCCCCCTCCTATCACTCTCTCTCTCTCCTGCTGGATAACCTTGAAGTGCAGCATGTGATCTAATGATGTCAGTAGCCCCGCCTCCTGCTGATGACACCTGCAGAGCAAAAGATTTAACGTTCAGTAACAAATAATAAACAGAAGCCAGAGCTGCACTAATCAAAGTTTTTTTTTTTTAGTGCAAGCTAAGTGTTAGCCTTTAGCGCTAGATCAAAATCCAAAGAGAACTGACAACACCTGTGTAGCTCTACGGAGCTTTTTATCCTCTTTGGCTTCGAGTTTCCAGTCTGGTTCCATCTCAGTGTTTCCAGCAGCTAGATGTTTCTTTTGTTAAACAACATTTATACTCTACTACGGTTATCACGATACCACATAATTAACCTTCGAAATAATTCTAGTTGTCTCCAAACATTAACGATACCCGTACCACGAGTTGCACGTGTGAACAACCAGATCAGACGTGGGGCAGTCCTCCTGAAATTCTCTAGACATTTCCAGCAGTGCATATATGAAAACGGCGCAAGGTTTGTCATGAAACCAGAATTTTGAACTTGGATACGATTCTGATAAAGTATAATATATATAGGACCAAGAATAGAACCCTGAGGAACTCCTAAGTGATTGTTACCTGTGTCTCCTGGATGTAAAAGCATGCAGATGGTTGATAGTAGCATCAAGTACGTTATAAACACATAGATGAAATATATTTATGATGCCCAGATTGTTCCGTCACCATGTGGCCTAAAACTGATGTATACAACTTTAAATGTAGTTTGAATTGCGCTTAGGAAGATAGGAGGGGACTGCCATTTTTATTATTTTTATTAAGTTTAGCCCAGTTCAGAATTTTTACTTAAGATGTGCTAACAACAGGCCAGAATCTGCAACAAAGTGATAACTTGACTTTGTGTTTCTGCACAACTACATTTTGAAGACACATTTTATCTTCATAAGAGTATTCTCTTAAATGTCACATATCCTCCTCCTCTTCAATCAGTTTAAATAAGTGTCAGAGCTCCTCAAATCATGTGTGTGAAGTTTCTTGTTCTAAATCCACTCTGATCCTGTATTTGATCATGTCTATAAACCCCTCTATTTCAGCCCTGCTCAGAACAGACTGTTTCTGTGTCTGTACCTTTAAATATGTAAATGAGCTGTGTCTGACCACGCCCCCTCTCTGGAAAGACTTGGGTGTACTCTGTCTTTCTCGCTCCATGTCCTATTGTTTACGGTGAGAAGGCAGACTCAGAGGGCAGAACAAACACCTAGCTGTGGGAGTGTCACCCATCTGGGGGAGGGGCTACTGCCCTTTGTGATGTCATGAAGAGAAAATCTCCAAACGGCCTGTTTGAGCACACATTTTCTGAAAAGTGGAGCAGAAGACGGAGAGGATGGACTTTTCTCATCATTGGGGGGTTTGTAGACTAGAGACACATGTTAGAGTTAGAGGAACATGGTGAAGAGGATTTTAAATAATATGTGACCTTTAAGCATCCTCCAAGCTTTCAAATCCAACTTCACATATATCCAGAAAGCGTTCTTATCTCAGCTTGTAGTTGCTGCGTTTCTGCATGTTCTCTGCATGCCCAGTTTCTTCTCATCTTGCATTCGTCTGACATCTGCTGCCTTCACTGTCACTGCGTTAAAATCAGACACAGAGCAACACCTCACCAAGAACAACAAGGACGTCAAGGTTCAGTTCATCTGCAGAGTAAACAAGAAAAATCAAAACAGGGTGTGTCAAAGTCGACGTCTGAATCTGTGGTTTGGACTGTTTTCAGCTAAATGCTTGAATGCTGCAGCTGTTCAGATTCTTAAACACAGTAGTGTTGTCATGATACCAGACTCCTAAACTTTAATACGATTCTAGTAAAAATTTAATTCTATTAATGCGACAACAACAAAGTCTTTAACACCCAATATTGGGTAATTTCATATTTTGAATTTTAAAATATTGCAGGAAAACTCCTGCACACGGTCTACAGGGGCGTGTCCAGACTCCAGAGGAGAAGAGTCTCGTTAGAGTCTTAAACCCTGTTGTAAATGTTTGGATCAGACGTCTTTCATTGGCAGAGCGTAGTGGGCGGGAGGGAGTGTAGACCTGGATTATAGAGTTTAGGTAAGGGGGAGTTTTTGTTGCTATTTTGTAAGCGAGCAGCAGAGTTTTAAATTTGATGGGAGCAGTAACTTACACTCCAGTGTAAGGAGATGAACAGTAGAGTGACATGTTCTGTTTTGGATCATCTGCAGAGGTTTGATAGTTCATGTAGGAAGAAGAGCTACCAGTAGAGAGATAGAAGTTTTTATTTACAATTTAAAATACAAACAAAATGTACTTAAATCAGCTGCCTTTTGCAAAATAGCCAGATTAGTTTTTTTCTGACAAGGAAAATATCCAATCACAGGTGAGGATTTTTGGGGTGGCCAATCAGATTTCCAGCGCCCCCGTGCCTCCCCTCTGGAGACGCTCCTGACTGTCTTAATCATTCAAATACGTTGGCAACATTTCATTATGCAGGAGTTTGCTCACAATTGTTTTGATGGATTCATTCTCGTCCTGCTCACCTGTTTTATAAAAAAGAAACACCTTTTGATTGAATCGTTTTGAAACACCTGGTATCACAAAATATCGCACATTGTGACGACCTTACAAGTATGAATGAAAAAAAGATTCCTTAACTTTAGTAAACCCAGGACGTCGTCCGCTAAACGACAGCGGTGTTGTCCCGGGTTAAAGGGACGTCGATGTGAATACTTCTGATTTCTTTGTGTTCTGACACCGCGTGAGCGCTCAGGTTCAGCCTGTTCAGCTTCCACTCAGCAGATAAACTGTAAATATGAAAGTGATAAAGTCATGATTAGGTGAATGAAACAGACAAACAGTAGCAGCAGAGTTCTGTGATGTTTTAGTGTTTTTTTGATCAGTTTTAACTTTGAATGAACCTTCAAGCTGACGAGCCACAGACTCAGACAAACAGCTTCTCACTCCTCAGACTCCCCCATCTCCCCCTCTTCTTCTTCTTCTTTATTAATTTTATTCCATCACCCCTCTTCCTCCTCCTCTTCCTCCCTCCCTCCCTACCTCCTTCCTTCCTTCCTCCCTCCTCCTCCTCTTCCTCCTCAGCAGTCTCTCAATGACAAGCGTAAAAAGAACCTCTTTTCCCGAAAGTTTCCGTTCTACAAGAGCAAAGAGACGAGCGAGCTGGAGACCAGCGATGTCGACCGTAAGTACAGCGGGGAGGCGGGGTTGGTGCGGTCCGTCTCTGAGACGATTGGTCGGCGACAGAAGGAGAGGTCAGCTGGTGGTGGTGGCGGCGGCTGAAAACACACTGGTTGTCATGGCAGCAGGGCACGGCTGATAAAACCTAAAACTTGCCTTATTGGCTCGATTTGAAACACATTTATGGATTATTTGGTTCCTCCCCTTCCTTCCTCCGCCAAAATGGCCGCCCTGTAGCCCTGTTGCCGAGCGGCTGCGTTCCCTCTGCTCTCTCTCTCTCTCTGTCGCTGTCTCTCAGTAACTCTGTGTTGTTCTCTCCTCGTTGTTCGCTCGGCTCTGCTGACCTCAGGACAACAGTGACGACATGCTTTCCAAAGGCCACAGTAAGTGTGTCTCCCCCTCCTCCCCCTTTCTCCCCTCCACCTCAAACTCAAACTCCCATCAGCCCCTTCTTCTCCCCCAGGATCCTTCTTCACCAAAGACTTCCTAAGAGTGTCATTTTAAAGTCTTCATTTAGTACAAACATCATAACTCACATGTTTCTCCTGAAGCTTTAAGACTGAGTTGTTAAAGATCCGACGGCCCGCCCACGGACCGGACGTGTGCGTTCTCATTATCGCTGACATTTACACACACTGCTGTTTACAAACATCCCTCGTGCCACACATCGTTAGAAAGATACGACTCTTGTGATTCTGTCCGTGTGAACTACTTTAAGATCCAACCACCACAGCAGCGACAATCTACGCATCTTTACGCATCTAATCACTAATACTTCATTTTTATGAATTGCATTACATCCAAACAGCGACCGCACTCTGCCCTCTTGATTGACACATCATTTGGCCAGTTAGGACCTTCCATTTGCTGTACCCAACCTGTGATAGCCAATGAGAGGAGGTATCAGCCCCTTGTCTGTATTCGGCCAATTGCACGTGACTGTGCCGATGACTGGTGATACTAGTAGCTGATGAAATTCTGGCTGCTTGTGTTGATTATTTCATGCTCACACTGAGATCGATTAAAAGCCTCTTTACCTAAACAGGCGATGAGTCTTTGTAAAATCAAACATTAAACACCCCTATGTAGCTGCAATGGTATGGTCCTTGTGCCTTAAAATATTGAAGTTGGTTCCTGGTGGAGACATAGCCTTCCCTCATCTCCTCGCCTCCCCTCCTTTCCTTCCCTCCTCGTCTCCTCTGACAGTCGAGGATGCTTCAAACCGGAGCTCCGCCTCTTCCCTCTGTCAGAGCTCTCATCACATTGGTCAGATCTCACTCCTCCACCTCTCACAGGGTTCTCATCATGCTCAGGTGTGCAGCTTCACACCTGGATCCTTCTGCAGATGTGTTGTTGAGGTTTCAGGAGAATCTGTTTGATTCAGAAGTTTAGTCTGAATCAGTCTCAGGAATAAAAAGTGTTTAATCAATCATTACATCATTTCTCTGTGAGGCCGTCGTACAGCTCGTACTGTCTTCAGCTGAGAGTACTTCACCTGCTGTTTGAATTCCCCGCTTTTATTTTGAAATAAAGGAAATGTGTGGAGAGGAAGATTACGCAAGGTTAACTGGTGAATACTGACAGCCCTAATATTTGAATATTCTTCTCTTATAAGTAAGCTTTTAAATACCCGAACACAAAAACGAAGTTTAATTGTTTGTTGATCTTCTATAAAGTTTTGGAAAGTCCTGGAGAGTTTTGATTCATATTCCTGGTCCTGCGTTTGCTTTCGTTTTGTTTATTTTCTGAGTTTGATGTTTAAATGTAAAATATCCCAGGAGAGAGAA